CCCACACACACACACACACACAGAGCTATGTCAGACTGCTGTCTTCCCTCGAACATAATGCATATGTGTTGTATTCGAGTTCCCAAAAAATTCAAAAAATTTGAATAGCGCGCAAGTGTTTTATTGGAAAAAATGACGTATGTTCGAATAGCACACATATGCTTTGTATTCAAATAGACAGCAACCTATGCATGCTATTCGCATGCTATTCGAGTAGTACCCAACCTATGCCTTGTATTCGTTTACAACGTATGTGAGTTGTATTCGAGGGAAGAGGGAGAGGGGTGGTTGCTCAGACTTACCGCCGCCATTCTCGTCAGGGGTTTGGACCGACCGACAGTGTGCTGGGATTGCAGGGTCGGCGTGAGTTAAACCACCAGTACTTGGCCCAGCTATCGGCCGTGGACAAAAAATAAGAGTAAAAACGTTTCTAGTTGGATGAATTTGGGCGCTCCTGTAGTGGCCCGTACGTTTCCTAAAATCGTGTAGCGTTAACGGGCACGACTTTAGGAAGTACCGGTGGTTTAAGTCTATACCACTTCTCTCAGCGGTAGCGTGGTAAAAAAGTGGTTACCCCTCAGTGAAATGCATCCTGGGCCGACTGTACAGGGTTGAACGGTTGGCGTTCAATCCAATCCTCTTTGCTAGTGGGACCTCGCCCCTGATGAGTTGGTGAAAGTGCAATGAAGTTGAATGAACCAGTCTGCCACAGTCATGCCTTTCTTTTTTTTTGCCGGAATTGTGTATAGGGAACATAAAAAAGTTAAAAAAAACACAAACATTTGCATGGGTTCGTTTCCTTTGTTGTTTTCTTGCTTAACTCCTCCCCTCCGGATGGGTCCAGTGCCTCACCCAAGTGGCATTATGCTCCCCCTAATGCTTCTTCTTCCAGAATGTAACTGGCATCCAGGCATCCAGGTACATGACGTCGTGTACTGACTCCTGACATTTGCACAGTCATCCCTTTGAAATCATTCTCAAAGAGGCATTATGGCAAATAAGGTAACGGTACGAAAAAAAAAAAAAAAAAAAAAAAAAGGAGACACTGAAAAAGGCAACCCTTCTTTTTTCGTTTTTCTTCCAATAGTTGTGGTGGTCTTGCTATTGCAAAAAGAAAAACCATGACAAGTGAAAACGCGAAGCAGGTGCCAGTGATTCCAGACAGTGCTCGTCCAAATCCTTCTTTCTCTTTGAAGCAGGACTCCTTTCCTCAGAGCATACTCACTTTTTTTTTTTTTTTTTCTCATTTAATTTTTTTCCCCCCGCCCCCCCCGCCCCCCCTCCTTTCAAATATTCCAAAATGTGAAGTAGAAACCGAGGACCCTACTCGCAATCCAGGGGTTGTTGAGAGTGTATCTCTCCTCAAGTCTAACGTGAATTATAGTTATGGGCCTCACTCCACTACTCACCACATGCACAAAAGACAAAACATATGGCCCCACTACTCACCACATGCACAAAAGACAAAAAATATGGCCATGTATCTTCCCATGTTCTGGCGGAAGATTCATTCTCATCACTTCGCACATTTGGTGAGTAGTGGAGTGAGGCAGAGGCCCTCTGTTACATAAACGTATTTCCAGTGGGTTAGGCCCTTAGGAGCCTACTGTGGGTACTGCCCTTTTTTGTTGTTGTGGGTAGTGTCCTACGGAGCAGGCTGATCAGGGAGATCTCATCTTTCTCTGTGAAAAAAAAAAGACTGCAGCAGGGAGGCAGCATGCAACGAACATTCGGGGAGAGCGTGACGAGACGTAACCAATTTGAACAAATTTCCGTCTTGTTTCTGCATTTATTTATTTATTTATTTATTTATTTATTTATTTATTTATTTTGAGGTTTCTGCATTTTCTACCTTCCATTGAATAATGCTTCGTGCACCCCCTTTTCTTTCAGAAGAGAAGGGGGTCCCCACTGCGATGTAATCATGGGATTTCAGGGAGATAATTTAGCAAGGCCTACATTCCAATGACCCTTATGGGGGCGAGGGGGGGAAGGGGGGGGGGATCGAGAGGGACGTGGACAAAGACAGTCTACATCGTTGAAGACTCTCCCTAAGGGTGCTACGAACGGCCATAATGTCCGATCCGGAGACGTCTCCCCGGGCGTCTCCGGGAGACAGTCAGGGGGGAATTCTCCGGGATCCCGGACACCAGCTTTTTGGTCAAAAAAAAAAAAGGAAAAAAAATATATATTTATTATTTATATCGGGGGGGGGTCTGCATACCACTAGGGGAACCCACCCCAAAAAATTCAGGCCATTCTGAGCAACAATGAAAGAAAATGGTAAGAAGGAGGGGAGGGTTGGGGGTTAGGGGAGGGCCCACTGCTACACACGAGGAGGAGGAGGAGGAGGAGGAGGAGGAAGAAGAAGAAGAGGAGGAGGAGGAGGAGGAGGAGAAGGAGGAGGACGACAAGGAGGAGGAGGAGGAAGAAGAAGAGGATCAGGAAGCTGAGGAAGAGGAGGAGGGGGCACAGGCTATGGAGGAAGAGGAAGAGGAGGAACAAGAAGAGGAGGAGGAGGAGGAAGAAGAGGAGGAGGAGGAGGAGGAGGAAGAAGAGGGGGAGGAGGAGGAGGAAGAGGAGGAAGAGGGGAGGAGGAGGAACAGGCCGTGGCGATGGAGGACGCCGAGGAGGAGGAGGAAAAGAAGAACAGCAGGGGGAGGAGGAGGAGGAGGGTGTCTTCTTTTTTTTCACCGCAATCTTTGATGATTTTTTTTTTTTTTTGATAAATTCAAATTGACTGAAAACTTACAAGGGTTTGGACAGAGGGCACATTTTTTACACTGCCATCTTTGGCGATTTTTAGTTTTTTTTTTTTCTTGCTTTCTACCTATCAAAATGCCGCAAAAACATTATGGGTATATGCCTTACCTGGGGTCTGGTCCCACCTAACGTTGTTGAGTTTAGAAAACTCAACGGTGTGACGCCATTTTGACATTAATAAATTCAAAACAAGAAATAAAAAAACTGAAAAAAACGCTAGAAACAGCTTTTCTCCTTATTTTTGATAACGTAACTCGGAGAAATGAAACATGTCTGGAACAGTCGGAGTGAAAGTCTCCGTGAAAAAGGGATACTCCCCCTGGTGAGGGGACGGGAGGTCACCATTTGTAAAATGGACAGGGACGACGTGGATGGCCAAATGCATTCATTGCCCAAAGAAGGAAACGAGTTTGATGCCAGACAGCCACACACAGCTGTCAGAGTTCCTCCGTTTCAGGATGCAATGAGGTCTTAAAAAACAAAAAAAAGGAAAGGCACTGCCGTTGAGAAATGTACCCTACCCTCTGTAGGGTAGTTTTCTCAATGGAAAATGGCTTCCCGCCCAAACCAAAAGGGCCAACGCATACTACAAAACGGATTTCACGTCAAAGAAAAATTCTACAAAATGACTAAATCTAATAGGTTATTCTCCTGTATTTTGGTACCGTTAGATCGCAATACATCAACGGCAGAGATCCACATGATAGAAAGCTCAGCGTTGAGAAAACTCGACGCTGTAGGTGGGACCAGACCCCTGCAGAAGAATCCACAGAAAAAAATTCAAAAGAAAAAAAATATATATATATATATATATATATATCGTCACAAACAGAACTGCCCGGTAAAACCGTAGGCAGAGAGAGAGAAGAGGACAACAAACAAGGGGCTGTGATATATACATATAGACATTTTTATGTAGGTTCGGACAGAGGGCTCCAGTCGGACACTTAGCCCAGTTGTAAGGGCGGACATCCCGGATGGTCAGGGGGGTCCCGGATGTCCGATCAGGTAACATAGCCATCAAGTGTTTCTTTCTTTCTTTCTTTTTTTTTTTTTTTTTTTTTTTTTTTTTTTTTTTTTTTGTGTGTGTGTGTGTGTGTGTGTGCGTGTGTAAATGGAACCAGAGGCCCGTACTAGAGGGGTCTCTCTCTCTCTCTCTCTCTCTCTCTCTCTCAACCCCCTCACCCCCCAGCAGCGCGTGTAGAGAAATGGTGTAGTTTGATTTTGTTTTTGTTTTTCTGTTTTTTGTTTTCAGAAAAGAGTTTCTTCGAATTATCTTGCCATACATTCCTGGAGGGAGATCCCACTACCGATGTATGTGGAGTAGGGGATAGGGCGCATGACCCTTCGGCGCCGTTGATGAGAACGGTGATCAGTGTTGTTGTTTTTCTTGGTTTTCGGCGTGCGGAAACATATGACTTTTCAGGGGCTCCCATTGGGTGGCATTTCTTTTGCCTTTGTTGTGGTGCCCCTCTGGGGGTCATGAACGTGCGTGAAAATCATACCAACTTTTTTTGGTTGGATTTTCACGCACCTTCCACTTACGTTTGCGTCGATGCGCATGCGTTCAAAAGAGGCTGAACATAAATGTCCCCCTTTTCTCATCATGAAGGGATGTCAGCTGATGTAAGAGTCTTCCACAACTTGTCTGTCATTCCAAGCCTCTTGTTGGGGAACGTTAGCAAATGTGTGTTGGCCTCACATGGTCCATGAACCGTCCACATGCACAACATACCAGAAGATCCACAACCTGACAGCTGACCGCAGTTCGCGGCGGGTGAACAACATTGCGTTGTCAGAATTGCGGCATTTTGTTTTTTTTTCAACATTTATCGCGGAGTAAAGGATGCCACACGGATATCGCCCGCACGTCCCGCAACTGTCACACACTACTCCACATACATCGTTAGTGGGATCTCCCTCCTGTTCAACATTCCTTTTTTTTTTTTTTTTTTTTTTTTGGAAAACAACCCGATCGGATGCTTCCTGTTCAAAGTATGCTAAGAAAAACGATGTTGCTTTAGCAAAGATGCTAGAAGTCTTTGTTTTTTGCTTTTTTTCCCCTCATTTTTTTCAATTCCATGTTGTACTACCGGTAGCCTTAGGTTCGGCATGGTTCGGCCTACCGGTCTCCGGAGGGTCGGAAAAAAAGTAGCTCCAGGTACTGGTGGTTTAAGGGAAGCCCTCATGGGAGTACGCCCTGAGGTGGCTCGAGTACATTTCTCTTACTTGTTGTCGGGCCTTTTCTACTACCTTTGTAGGGGAGATGCAAGGAGCTTCACGCCTGGGTGTCGTGAAGCTCTCTTCACTTGATCTACTTTCAATAGGGGAGATGTAAGAGGAGCTTCACGCCACACCTAGCCAACCAACAGCTTGACGTGCAGGGTCTGTGCAGCGGATCTGCCTACGTGGAAGATCCCGCTGGTCGTGATGAGAAAGGAGAGGTGGAGATGGTGATGGAGACGACGGCTGTCAAGCAGGAGGAGACACCACACACACACACCTCGAACTCACACGGTAGACTAGCCTCACACTCGCACTGTAGACAAGATACACAATGCAGAATGAAACAAATGACAGACTGCAGCTGGGGTCTACCCCCAGCCGATTGACTGGATTGGACTGGGCTGGTAGCAAGACCGGTAGCGGCCGAAACAATAAATGGGCTGTGAGATCAGGCCGACGGCCCGGTCCCACAGGCGGAATAATCGGGAGGAAAAGCAGTCGCCCGACTATATGCCAGGCAAGTTGAGTCCCGCTGCAGTCTGAGTGAGACACCGTCAGCAAAGGATGGCATGCAGCCATGTTTTTGTGTCTCACGAGTCATGACACCCATCTGCAAAAGCAAAAGCAACAATTGAAACACAAATGCGAGCATCTGCGAGGAGTGAAAGTGCCCCCTCCCTGTGGCACAGAATGAGTGAATTTTGGTCTGTTCTCAGGTGTCGACTGGCCCTTTGTATTTGTTTACACTTGATCCAACCACCAGTACCATGGAACCAACGTCATCGAACCCCGGAAGAACTACCAACCCTGGCATGTCACTACCTTCTTCACCTGAACAAAACGTACGGTCAGTATCTAGACTGAAATGCGGCCCAAATTCAGCTATAATGAACGTACGGTTTGCTCAGGCGAAGAAGATTGCCTGAAATGCCAGGTCTGCCAAATCACACACTTTTTCATCCCGTAATTTGTTTGCCGACTGGATCGCATTTTTTTCATTTTGCGATTTGTTTGCCTAATGCAGCCGAATCGAGGATGTCTCAACAGCCTCCTTTTATCAGCCTCGGAAAGCCTCCGTGCACGCACGGATTTGAACCGCCGACCTCAGCCTCAACACCCAACTTTCTTAACCCCTACAGCCATGCTAGGTTGCACGCTTGGCCGCGGCTGGGGGGGGGAAATCGGCCGCGGCCTCGTCCGATGGCCGAATCGGCCTGGTTCGGCCACAGCCGACCAGCCGAGTTTGGTGCAGGAATTTTTTTTTTCTAACGCATGAAAAAAATATATATATATGGGCGTGTAGGGCTCAAAAAACCCTGCACGCCCATATTTTTTTGGGGGGCATTGTTGTTTCCTATTGCATAACAAAAAAAAAAAAAACAGAGAAAAGAAAAAGAAAAAGAAAAAAACGCTTCGGAACCCCGTGCAAGTGTGTGTGTGTGTGTGTGTGTGTGTGTGTGTGTGTGTGTGTGTGTGTCCGCCGTCCCTTTTTTAATATATAAATAAATAAATAAATGAAATAAATAAATAAATCAGCCATGTGGGCGGGAGTGCGGTGGCCTGTGGGTAAATCCCCGTTGAACAAGCAGTCACGCTGGACGGGAGCAGAGGGAGGGAGAACTCAGTGTGTGTGCCGAATGCCTGAGTGTGGTGTGTTCACCCTTGGTGTGGCGAATGCCTGAGTGTGTTGTTGTGTGTGGATGGATGTGAGTCGAAGGACACTACAGCCGTGCGGGAGTGGGGTGGATGGCACGACCCACACGGATCCACTTTTGTGCACTGTGCCATGGCTGCAATGTTACCCCCTGGCCGCAGCCGAGTTCGGCCGTGGCCGAGGCCGTCGGCCGTGGCCGGGCCCCCCCCGTCCGCGGCCGAACGCGGCCGATAATTTCAGCCGAGGCCGCGGCCGATCAGGGAGGGGATTTGGGGGGCGGGGAATGGGTTTCGAGTCAGGGAGGGTCCCCCTACCTCCTCGCAAAAAAAAAAAACATAAAAACTTTGAAAATGGGGGGGTGGATTTCGAAGACTACCAAAAAAAATTAGATGAATAGAAAAGAAAAAAAAAAAATTCATTGATTGATTGATTGGTTGATTGATTGATTGATTGATTGATTGATTGATTGGTTGGTGGGGGAGGGGTCCTCCCTCCACTCCACGGCGCGCNCTCTCTCTCTCTCTCTCTCTCTCTCTCTCTCTCTCTCTCTCTCTCTCTCTCTCTCTCGATGGTGATCCTCTTCCTCCATCGCTGGGAGTACGACTTCACGGGTAGTGGAGCACTTCGTGTTGGTTTTTGGCTGATCGATCTTCGTACTGGAAATTTGAAAGGATGAGCACCGCGTCATCATCCACGGCTGGACTGGTAATTAGTTCCTCTTCCTATGACCACTCAAAACCCTGAGGATCCACTCATTCTACCCTATCTCCCCCCATTATTTTTCTTCCCCTTTCAGAACGCTAACTCGAGGATACATACTCCCCCTGATGAGCCGATCCGATGGATATCGGCGAAAAGATCTTTGGGAAATTTCCATCAGATCCTTCTTTGTTGCGTCGGCAATCTTGAGCCGCTTGGCCGAAACGGGGTTCCTTTTTTTCACTTTTCCTCGCCCACGTAATGATGCATGACTTTTTAACCATGACGCGTTTGTATTCGTGTTTGTATTTGTTTTTGTATTTGCCTGATTGGATGGGATACCTTGTTCTGTCTGGGGCGTGATCGTTTTGCCTTGAGAATGGGTAGGATCTGTTGACGACC